CGATACAGCTCTTAAATGCTTCAATGGTCCAGCTTATTGAACTTTAGTAGTGTAGGCTGTCTAAAAATTACAATAGATAGCTGAGTCCCCATCAAACACCAAGGATAGAAGTTACAATCTGACAACTTCCAGAAGGCTACAATTCGAAGATTTTCACATGTCAAGGAGTTAAAGCAAAGCAAAGCTCTGACAAAAAGGGATTACAAATCAACGATCTCTTCAAACCAAGACATGAAAGTCCTCCCCGCATATCACCGTCAAGACACTACACCGATTCAATCACTTACGCAGCTTCTTATGTGAGATGATTGATCTTGATGGCTGCGACAACAACATGACTAATATTATATTAGTAACCATTAGAGATGCTGATGAGCAGTGTAATGATAGTCGACACACTCAGTGGAGATCGTGATCTGCAGTTGATAGAGCGTTATTAGGATGCCTCAATTGCCACAAATGGCCTGAATAAGATCTTCTTTACTAATCATTGGTGTCATCCATATGTAAAGATAGAGAAATCTAAATACTGCAACAATCAACAGCTCGAACGCAGCTCCAATCGCTGCCAAGCACAGCTCGAACGCAGCTCCAATCGCTGCCAAGCACAGCTCGAACGCAGCTCCAATCGACGATGGACGCAACTCCATCGCTGCCCAACGCAGCTTATCAACCGTTGTCAGACGCAATTCCATCGCTGCCCAACGCAGCTCATCAATCGCTGCCCAACGCAGCTCATCAACCACTGCCAAACGCAGCTCATCAACCGCTGCCAGACGCAGCTCCATCGTTTTTTGGATTGGGGAGATCGGATTTTTGATAATCAGATCAAGAGAGATTTCTTTTCATTAATCGGAGGGGGATCTTTCGATCAAATCTTCCAGAATCAGAAAAAGGAGGATTGACTCCTTACACAGTCTGGGAAATCAACAAACGGAGGATCTCTAAACCATCGATATTTGGCTTATTAACCGAATTATTTTCGGTTCCAACAACTCTATCATTAGAGTTTGTTACTTGTTCTGAATCACAAAACTCGACAAGAGTTATCAACCGGCCAAGACAGTTGTTCCAGTGAAGTATAGATATTCGGATCGTCAACGAGAAGCAAACTCGACGCAAGCATTCGAGGGAGGCATCTCATCGCTACCGTGAAGAACCCAGAATTAAACAAAGGG